AGATAGTTTTCATTAGCATAGGCGCATATAGAAACATGGAATTCCTGTCGCAGAACAAAAGGGGTCGGTAAATATGGCTTTTCACCAAGGTTATTGTCTTGAAGGTTACTTGCAAATACTAATTAGATTTTAAACTGGCATACAAGGTATACGCGATTACGGAGCACGCGAAAAGTGGATAGAGACTATAGCAAGCACTCGGCATGCTGCAACCTTACGTCAAGTCAATAAAGGATACGACATTTTTATAAATAGAAACACACGGTAGATGAAAACTGAATGGAAAATGTCGAGAGAATTTCTAAAACATGGCTAAAGTGGCGTTTAACCGCAGGAGGGTGGACACCGAAAAGCAAACTGGAGTAACGGAACGATATATCGAGTTGGTAGTCACTCTCAGTCAATGTCTATAGAGCTAGGGGTACATCAATAGAAGCTTTAAAAAGCCAAGAGATATAATTTCTTTGAAAATGCGTTTTATAATGTAAAATTACAATAGATGCATTAAGCTGACAAAAATACGATTTCTGCATAATCGATAAGAAGCACACAAAGCAGCACAGAAAAGGAGTATGAGTGAAATGTCCAACGTACCTGTGCGTGAAACATTCCCAGCGACCTGGCCTTATGTAGGGGGATAAGCACTTTGATTAAGAATCTGGTGTGTTCAGATTTCAAAGGCAAAGCGAAGCCGTTTATTATGCTACCTAAAATTTCCAGCAGTTCTCCCACACCATTAAACTGTTCTGTTTCGTAGATAAACCTAAATGACGTGTCAAGAAACGAGGTTAGAAAACTCACCGCAAAAAAATATTATTTATCTGTTTCCGAATAAAAGATCGTAGGCCAAGGAATTTACCGTAAATACGGTGGACAACAGTTTTGAGTAGATCGCGCTCACGAGGATCTTCGCTATCGAACAGTTCTAGCAGCTGAGAATACCAATCGAGACTATCATTAGTAGAAGTACCTGCAGGACGAACTTGTGATCAATATATTTTTTGGCAATCGTTGGCTGGAATTCTGAAGATTCTAGGACGTGTAGGAAGAATTCGTAAACAAACTGATTATTATGAAGAAAAGTACTAGAAAATTACCAGAAGATGGGGCCATGCAGAATCTAAAACTGGGTCGTCTTCCTCTGGATCGAAATCCGGATTGTCTGAAGGAGGAAGGGTGCGGAAGATATTACAAGCGATCTGAAGTTTTGTGACCTAGTTAGAAGTGGCTGGCGGACAAACCATTCGAATGATGTCTTGGTAGGTGTTTTCATTCAAGACACCTCGCGATACTGTAACGTATTCCACAAGCTCGTTTAAACAGGAT